GGGGATACCCCCTGAAATTCTCCATTCTCTCAACGAAAATAGTTCAAAAGATTTAATGGCATACTAGCTCTCGAATACTTGCGAGTATGTATAAATTATTTATGCGCCTATTCCAAAATGATGCCCATCATGGGAATAATTGTATTGTGCTCGGCACTCCGAATTTGCATCAAACGCCGCCATTTGTTTGGGCTTTTGTGCGAAATTCAGAATCTGAATTTACAATGAGCTGGCCGGGGCTTTGTTCGGCGTTGCCCAAGGCATTGAACTGTAATGGCCAGAACGAGAAAAAAAGACCAAAACCAAACATAAAACCCCTGAAAGGCGCCCGAAAAAAAAGAGAAAGAGCTGACAGTTTCCCACTGCTCAAGGCCGGGGCTCATTTATGGCAGTTAAAAACTTATTAAAACAATTTGACCACAGTTAGCAAGACTTAATTGCAGTGGCACAATTACGGCCGAAACCCCATTAGATTTGGCATTTTGCGGTTTCTGGGCCACCGAACGGATGAAATGAGGGCCCAGCCAAAGCGAATCCAAAGCGAATCGCAATCGAATCGAATGCACTCGGGTGACAATTTAATAAGCCAGAAGATTGGGCTGTCTGTCTGCCTGCCTGGCCCTTTGGCCATCCCTTTCGGCCAACTCTCTCTATTTCGTCCGCAACTTGTTTGCGACTTGGCCCGTCTATTTTGTGATGTTGCTGCTGGTGGTGCTGCTACCTCTTCTGATGTTGCTGCTGCATTTTGCCGGCTCATTTCAACTTGGCCCGAATGCATTTTCTATACAAACACAAACACAGACGCAGGCAGAGCCAGAAGCTGAGGCAGAAACAGAAACAGACGGAGCTGAGCTGAGGCAGACAACCGCAATTCGGTTGGGCATGGGTATGGCCAGAACACTGAGAGAAAAGGTCAAGATAAAAATTAAACTAAAAAATTCATCTTTAAAAAGTGTAAAAAGTCTAAAAAAATTAATGCTTTCAAAATATTAAAATATATTTAATGTTAAAATATTATTTAAAAAATATTTAAAATATATTTAAAAGCAATCTAATAATTCAAAATCAGAGGATGATACTTAAATTGTATAAAATTTCATAATATATAATTATTATAAAAACGCTTGAAAGTAATAGTGAAATGATTTGCAAAATGTATTTTCCCTAAAAACCATTTATTGTTACAATATTTCGCCTGTGCACCGAGCACAAACCCCTTACCCATATCATTTCGACTGGAGAATGGCAACTTTTTGCTTTATTGGCTTTATTGACTTTTGGTAAGTTCTCTTCCCGGTTGACTTCGTTTCGTTTCGATTCGTTTTGTGGCCAGCTTCTTGGACGGGCGACAAGTTTGGTGGCATAGAAGAGTAACCATTTTGATGGTCGGAGGATGTGGCTCCTCCAAGAGGAAGGGTATGCCGGCAGTCGGTTAGTAAACTCCCCTGATTGCTGGCTGTGTTTATTCGCTTATAAAAATAAATAAACCCCGACGCCGTCGAATCAGTGAAAGACCATGTGGCCAGAGGAGAGGCAGAGAGAGGGAGAGGGAGCAGGATGGCAGGATGGCAGAGCAGGACAGAAGTTGGCTGAGCTGCAAGACCGTAAAACTGGAAAGTTGTTTGGTCAGTTCTACCGACAACAACCACCGTCAGCCGACAACAGACAACATTTAGTGTCGAGCTGTGGCTCTTGGGCTTTGATTTTCTCGAGCTGCCGAGCTGGGGAGCTGCGAATTTTGCGAATGAAAATTTATGAAAAATCACACAATTTTCCAGCTGCAGAAAAGTGTGTCATCCCAGCCGAACGTTGCAGAATCGAATCCCCAGCCAAGATCGCCGAGCGTCTTTCTTTGGAGTTGCAACTCGATTTTACCTGCTTTTAGTTGTTTTCGGCTGAAATCTGGTTTTGTGTCTGTCTGTAGGCATCTCTTTCTGCCGCTGCATTGCCGTCTCTCTCACTGTTTTGTTTCTGATTCTGTTTCTGTTTCTTTTCCATTTGCATGGCTAAAGTTGAATCATCGATGTCGATATCGAGATACTTCTCCTCTTCTCTCCCAAAAATGCAAATGCAAATACAAATGCCTGTGTATTTTAGCCAGTTTTCGGGGTATTTGGACTCTGGATTTGGCACTCGCCAGGCAAACCCATTTCAGTGTCATCTCAGCTCGGCAAATTCACCATCCATCCATCCGTCGATCCATTCAATTTGCAATTAGCCGCAGCGCCATAATTAATAAAAGAAACACGCGTCCAAATGATGCTAACTAAATTGTTTTTGATTTATGCCCCAAGTTCGAGTTCATTTCGGAGTGCCTTGGCAACTGTAAGCCAAATTTATGATAAGCTGTTGGCCATTTGGCCTGGGTTAACCTCAGGCCAGAGATTCAGATTCATATTCGGATGCAGATACACAAAGTAAAGAAAAGGAAGGCGAAAGTGAAAGTGACTCTCTTTTTTTCTCATCCCGCGTCGTTTGTCTCAAGTGATTTTATTACCGCCTTTCTTGTCTCTCGCTCTCTGTGTGTTAACTTGGCTTTTGTTTTTGGCTCTTTTGGCTCTGGCGGAGTTTCAAAATAAAATTAAATGCTAAGAAAAACAAAAAGAGACGGCAAACAACAAAAAAATGATTACAACGATTTATACGTGAGTTCGGCATCACGTTTCCTTTTTATTGCTCTCTGAATTTGTTATTTTTGCCTTTGCTTCGCCTTTGCTGTTGTCATTTTTCATTTTGGGTTCAGTTGGCTGGCTGAAATGGCTGAGTTTTTCTCGTTCGGTTATTTAATGATTTAAAGATTATACACGGTCCACCAGGCGACCCTTTTACTCCTGGTCGGCACAAAGTGCTCCTGCTTCCCCTTGTCCCCCTATTTCCCGATCCAAAAAAGCTGAGGCTGAAAAACTTTCGCTTTTTTTACACCTTTTTCGGCAGGTAAAAATAAAGGTAGAGCAAAAAAAAACAGAGTTGTGTAAGAGCATGTTAATTTGGGACGAAGGCAGAAGGTGTTAAAATTGCAGATAATGTCTGCGGTTTGTTGTTTGAGCTCTCTCTCCTCGTTTTTGGAGTAGAAACCCTTTCTTTGAGGGATGCTGTTCACACCCCGATTTCAGGGATCTCCATTAAGCGACCCAATTATCTGGGAATCTTTGGTTATGGTAAGGTAAGCTAAGCAGCTTTGAAAGAATATCTTATTTAAAGGGGGTGGTTATAAATCTTGTTTTAAATCTTCTTCATAAATTTCTAGAAAAATTAAACTGATGCATTTATGTGATAATTAAAACTAGGGCCTTAGTAATCACCTCACCTTTAAGCAATGCCACCCTTCGTTCAGAAAAACAATTAATTTAATGGCCCCACTTTGACTTACTCATAAATATGCTAATCAACCGGCGAACACGCCTCCAATTTAGCCAAAGAATAGCTAATTCTGGGCTGACACAGTTTTGCAATTATTCAATGGGCAAACACAATTAAAATTGTGAAACACGATTTGCTCTTGACTGGAGCAGCAGTTGCTCTGTCGCCAAAAGCAAAATGTCAAACGTTCACAGTGGGAGTTGAGTTTGAGTTGTTTCTCGAGACGTTTAGTCAGCCCATTAGACAGATAGCGCGCGCATCCGTCAGATACAGCTACATTATGGCTACATTAGCGGACTCAGAAACAGAAACCAATAGAGACAGAGATACAGATACAAGTTCGAGTACATGCGGCATCGATTATTTGTGTAGAGATGGCGATGCCGAGCAAACTGGTTCTGCCAGTGCCCAACTATAGATAAGTGTTTCAGTGTTCCAGGCCGGGCAATAAATGCGTGGGAAAGCGAATAGGCCAGTCCGATTCGTACTGAATCGCAGAATTATGGCCAGTCAGCGGAGGACAAAGCCGGCTGCGGCGCTAGATGTGCAATTACAGATAAGCCCGAACTCATTATAATAAAAATGAGTTATTAAAGCCCCGAAAGCTGAAGACCCCGAAACACTTTTCGCCGAAAACTAGCCGAGAGTAATGGCCTGAACTTTAAATTAAAGCCACTCTATCCTCTGTCCACTCTTCTCGCTTTTTCGTTAATTTCTTGGAAGCTGTCAACGTTGAGAATTAATTTTTACACCACGAGTCCGAACCCGGGGACCTGTACCTGAACCTGGTTTCCTGGTCTAGCGCAGAGGAGGAGAATCAAATCATGCAAGAAATTTGTTACTGACATAAAAATTACCATCATTATAATGTCTGGCCCCGTCTAACACGAACACGAATGCGAACACTCGAAAGCGAAGCAGGAAGAGCGGCACAAAAGCCAGTATGTGGTAATAGAAATTGTCGAAATGGACACTGCGAAAAAAATACCAGGAATTTGGGAATTGGAATGAGATTTGCCTGGGTTTGAACCAGTGATTAACAGCAGAAGCAGAGCATACAATGGCATCTTGGGTTTTCTATTTGTGTGACAGATTTCCTCGGTAACACAGTGTGTGTGCTGGCAGAGGGGCAGCAGAGGATGACCATTGTTTTATTCTTCAAAATCTTTGCTGAATATAAGCGGGGAAAAAATACGATCTTTAAATCGGAAAACTCATATAATTTCAGTATGTCGAATCTTATATTTCAAATTAGAAAATACATAGAACTTTATAGTTCCCCTAGTCTTATTTCCTATACTTTATAAGGAAGATAAATAATATTTATTAAATATGCTAGTGCAATGATTAATTCTTAGAAAAAATGTTTTAGGCTTGACATCTTTAGACGTCATGAAATTTAATTTATACCACAATCTAAGCCAATCTAATACCCATTTTCCTAAGTGCACTTTTCACCTGGTAAGGGAAATGAAATTCGAGACTGGCCAAAGACGACAAAGGAGTGCCTGGTCGAACGTAACGGGTCGGATGAGTGATCGATGCTCTCCGGGATGAGGTGAGAGTGGCCGTGGCTCTTGGGGATTGAAGATTGGGTATAAGGGGACTCCACTTCCAAGTGGGTGTGGAACGGAACTCACCTGCGCATGATGGGCAGCGGCAGCGTGAAGCGTCCGTCGTTCATGAGGGGCGCTGGCAGCGGACCCGGCAGTGGTACCGTCGATATCACGGACGTCAGCGGAGGCTGAGCAGCAACGGGAGTTGGTGGAGCAGCCGGCGGAGGCGGTGGGGGAGGGGGCGGGGCAGCGGCGGTCAGGGGCACGGGAACGCCAACGGATAAAGCGGTATAGGGCGGCGGGTAGTGGGCATGGAGGATATCCGGCAGCAGGGCCCTTGCCAGTCCCATGGCGGCGGGATGGGGGTGGGGCAGTGGGTGGGGATGTGGGTGGTGCAGATGGGGTGGTGGGTGCAGTTGGGGAGGAGGAGGCGGGGGCGGATGGCGTCGCGGGTGGTGTGGCTGCGGATATTGCTGTTGTTGCTGCTGCTGCTGCCGGCGTTCCCTTCGCTCCTTGCGACGTTGCTCGCGTGTCCGGATATGTTGCTGCTGTTGCTGCTGCTGCTGATGTTGCTGTTGCAGATTGGCTGATGTGGATGATGTACTGGCTGACAGGTCATCCGTTTGGCATTCCGTTGAGGTGAAGGTGCGTGGGTGGCTACTGTTGTTGTTATTACTGTTGTTGCTGCTGGCATTCACATTGATTATATTCACACTGTTATCTGGCTGCACTTGATTATTATTTGCGGCCGTGTTGGCAGCAACATGTGGCTGATCCCCGCTTGGGGGGCTAATAATATTATTATTTAGCTTATTTTCAACACTTGCACTAAACACTTTGGCTGCTGGCACACACTTATTAATTTCAACCACGCTGTTATTGTTGCTGATGTTGCTGTTGCTGGTGTTGCTGCTGGGGGTGTAGCTGCAGTTGACAACGCACACGCCGTTGTTGTTGTTGACGATGCTCGTGGGCGAAGCCACCGAGACGCGATTGCCGTTATTGTTACCGTTAGTGTTGCTGTTACTGTTGTTGTTCACCTGGATCGTTAGGCTCGGCTGTCGCTGGCAGGACTTGGAAGTCGTTGCTGCTGCTGCTGGCAGCACCGCAATGTTGCTGATGGTCTTGGCCTCGTCGACAACTTGATTGTCGCCGCTGTCGGTGCTGCTGCTGCCGGACACATTGAGGAACACACTGCTGCTGCTGCTATTGCTGCTATTGCTGTTGCTACTGCTACCTGCAACAGTTGCTGTTGCCGCAGTGGCTGGCACATTCAGACGCATCTCGTTGGCGTTTTCAATGTCCAACTGGCTCAGACCGCGCTCGAATCTGCTTTCACTCGCGCGAAATTCGGCATACAGACGCTCGAGTTCTGCCAAACATTTGTTGGGCCGCAGCACGCTGCTGCTGTCGTACAGTGGGCGATAGTTGCTGCTGCTGCTGCTACCTGCGTAGTAGCAATTCCGGTTGCTGCTGCTGCTCGCGTTCGTTGTTGGCCCGCCGAAAGTTGCCGAGAGACTGATCGCCGAGCTCTCGCCGCTGATGTTGCTGCTCGCGTAGCTCGTGTTGCTGCTGGCTCGCGTTGCTGCTGGTGGTGCTATGGTGTTGCTGGCTCTCAGTGGCTCTCTTCGCTCTCTGGCGGCACAGGAAACAGGTTGAGTGACCTGCACTGCCGAGCTGGTTTCCTCATTCCCTCCCGATGTTGCTGTTGTTGCTGCTGGTGTTGCTGCTGCAGTTGCAATCGCTGCTGCCGCTTCGTCTCTCTGTTCATTGATAATGCAATTCGCTGCGCTGCTGCCTGGGTTTTCTTCGCTTTGTTGTGATCTCGCATTCGTTGCTGGGCTTTGTGTTTCCGTTGCCGTTGTTGTTTCAGTGTTGCTGCCGTGCTGTATTGCAGTTGCTGGCGTGAATGGAGCGCAATTCTGCGGAAGAGAGATGGAGAGAGAAAGAGACAGATAGAAACAGAGATTGAGTCGGGTTTTTGCATATACCAAATGACAAGATTTAAGTTTCAAGTCGTAATTAATGCTAATTGCTGGGGGATTACCCCAGCATTTCTCATTTTCCCTCGCATTTTCCCGCCAAAAAGGTGGCTCCTTCGGTCGGGGCATAAATGTGCGCTTAATTGAATTAATTAAGCCAACGCATAAACATAAAACCGTCACAAGTAATTGTTGCTGGTGGTGTTGTGGCTGCTGCCGCCTGTGATGTGCTGATAAAGCTGTTGGTCTCTGTATCCTGTAACCCAATCCCAAAACCCAGACCCGAACCCAATCCCCATCGACATGATGTGGGTTCAGAGCCATGCGTATATAGCTCTTTTCTGTTCTGTGTGGATTTGTGTGGGCTCTAATTATGTTACGCTGTGTTACTTGCATTAATTACGTCACAGAAATATAATGTGATTTACTGTTAGCTCGAACCTTACCCACCCCCCTTCGAATTTATTGTTCTAATGCTGTTCAGTCTTGTGCACTGTGATTGCGTTGCTGTCGAGTGCGTTGCAATCACAGGGGGCTTTTCCGACGGGGGAGGGGGGAAGGGGTGCCGAAAAACCAAAACTCATCCTCGGCTAACTGTGCTTGCCAGTGGAAAAGCGCCGGCAACTTCATTACTTCTTGCCCATAAACCTCTCGTCATGAGTCAGTCGTCAAAGCAGAGATATGTGTCGGGTAAAATAAGTGGGGCGCAGAGGGTTCAGATGGTATATATAAAGATGAAGTCGGTTTGAACCATTTGTCATTGCTTATTAAGTTCGGCCAGCCGTGAAGAGATTGACAGTGGAATTGGATTAGAAATTCTGGAACCTTAAGAGCAAATAGAGAACTCTATTCGGAGAAAGTTATTTTGTTCTAATTTGTCACAGAGTCTTTGTTAATTCCATGAAGGACCAAAGGTCACCCACTATATATGGTATTTTATTTAGTTTTCAAAAGTATTCATATTAATGATTGAAAGGTTTCCGTCGATTTAACTATGGATATTTTATGTGGTGTTTCACGCAATTGATATGACTTAATGTATTCTGATAGTATAATAAGTTTTCCCGAAATGAAAACTGATATTTTTGTTGTCCCCCCTGCCCCCTGCACCTTCCCTCCCCCAACCCCTTTGTGAAACCATTGTTATGCACTTTGCCCCTCCCCATTTTGCAGCCCACCGCCTTTGTGCTTTGTTTGTCATTTTTGTGCGGTCAATTTTCCGTTTCGCTGACGCCACATAAACAAATTATGAAGTGTGCACAGAAAACACAGCCACATGCGAGCCCCTATGTGCGAGTACTTTATGCCGTTCTTTATGCATATTGCATATAAAATTTAATATGTGGAAACAAAGCCACGCCCCCTTGCCACCGCCACCGCCCCCGCCCCCTTGCGGTCCAATGTTCGATACTGATAGGCAACATATGGCGCTTATCTGCGAGGGATGCTAGCGGCACTTAAGGGCCTAAGTGAAGCATTAGCCCTTATCGGGGTTACAATAGGGCGGTGCGGGGGATATAATACGGTATGCTATGGTATAGGGGCAGGGGAAGGGGCAAGGGGGGGTTTCTATGGAGTATGGGGCTGTCAATGGGCCCGATAAGGCGACAGTTCGACTTGGCGCTCCCATTTCGCGCTCGAGTCCCACAGTTTCCCATTGGCGGCACCAAGCATTTTGTGTTGAACCCTTGACATCAAATTTGATGGTGCTCCATTAAGCAGCTGAAAGTATCGATGGGGTGGGGGTGGTGTTCCCAGCTGCTAAAAAGGTATTCCATTTTCACCTAGGCAGGGCGCAAGGTGAGTGCTAAAAGGTAAGCATAATCTTGGTTTAGGTATCTATAAAAGGGGTGCTATTTTTATAAGGCAATCTAAATCTTATAAATGGGAATCAGGTTTTTATTTTAGATTAAAACTCTTCCAATTTTATTATAGATTTCTCTATTTCTATTATATCCGAATTTTGGATTTTCTTTTATATATCTTTGTAATAGAAGATTATAAAACTCACCTGCGAAATGTAGTCATCGGTGAAGGAGCGCCTTAGACCCAATCCTGCGGGAACATTAGCCGTTAGTGGAGCAGCCTTGGATCTGGTCTCATCCGGATCTTGATTCTCCTTCTGATGCCGATCCTCTGCTGCTGCTTTCGTTGGCGATCGTTGCGATCTATCACAGGGTTCGAGACCCACTTCCCCATTCGATTTGAGAATCTTAGAGGATGCAGAAGGAGGAGAGACGGTGTACAGTGACTCGTAGGAGGGTGGCTCCTTGATCGAAGTGGCGGCCGAGGAGCACCATTGGGTCAAAGTGCGGGAGGGGCTTCCCTGGTAGGCAGGGAAGGAGTAGCGGTTCCGCCTGCCACCCACTCCACCCACTCCGATTTTGGGCAGGTGATCGAAGCCGGCGATGGCCTCATCGAAGGCGCTTAAACTAAACGGGGGAAACGAAGGCACGGGGGGCAGGAGCAGGGCGGATCCACTGTCCAGAACCTGCTGCTGCTGCTGGTGGTGGTGGTGGGCGAAAAGGGGGAGGGCGTGGCCATGGTGGTGGGGGTGGTTCAAGGCCGAGGCCTCGTAGCTGCTGTGCGACTTGCGCAGCTGCCGATTGAGCCGCTCGTCGTCGTCCTCCTCCTCGGCCTCCTCCTCCGAGGAGCTGGGCAGGGGCGTGCGCTCGTAGGGGGTCCACAGCATCGAGGAGAGCGCCTCCTCCACGTCCGGCGGTCGCTGGCGGTGCGTTCCCCCGGCGGATCCTCCTGGCCCCGCCCCCTGCCCATGGCTGGGTGTGTTCCGTTCCGACAAGGACATTCTGCGGTGGTGGTCAAAAGCAGAGTCCGACGCCTCATCGCTCCGCTTTGTGCCACATCAGGTGGTTACATGCTGGGACATCCTAAAAAAAAAAACACAAAATAATAATAATTCTGACAAAAATTTGACCTTTTGCGGATTTAATTGATTATTTTACAGTTTTTTTTGTTAGATTATAAATTAATTAAATGACTGAAATGCAAATCTAATTCACATTCACAGCCGGCGAGATTGTAATTTAAAATTCCAATTACACAATTATGCACATTTTTCATTTATCAACTGAAATCGAAATTCATTTGCAGTGATATTAAATCTCCTATGCCTACATGTTTGCCATCTTACTTTACTATGAAATTGACCCATAACTAGAATATTTTTTCCTTTTTCTTATCCTTTAAATTGGATCAAAAGCCTTCTGGTTGTTAACCGTACTGACCTGAACTCTTTCACAACATATATGTAGACTTTTTCCATTTACAAACCCCTGCAATATCTCACATGCGGACTTTCAGTTTTATTGCTGATCGAGAGAAATAAAACCCTGAAATATTTCCCAAAAAAAAGGGAAGGCATGTAGCAACTGCAAATGTAAATGGAAAATGAAAAACTTTTAACTAAGCAAATGGCTGACAAATTAAACGCTTACAATGCCCCAATTTCGAAGCCAGAAACTTTTCAGTCCGACTCGGCCTCTTCCAATTTGATAAATTGCGATTAAAGCATTTGAAATCGGTAGGGCAGGATGGAAAGAGGTTTTCTAAGTGAATATGCCCGCCGGCGAAGGGTTGGTTTGAGAGGGGAGGGGGTTGGAAAACCTAAAAATGGAAAACCCCAAAACGAAATAAGCCAGCAGACATGAAAAACAAGCATCCGTTTTGTGGAAAATATATGCAGAAAAGTTTGCGATGCAAAGTTTTTGGCAGCCTCGTTCTCTCTCGATTTTCCTCTTTTGCTTCTTTTTTTTACTTTTGCGTTTGCTTTTGCCCCAAAGGAGTTGGTAGGGAAAACTTTGCCACACACTGGGTGGAGGGGGATGGAAATCGAGTACGTGAATTCGTACTCGTGTGCGTGTGTAGGCCGTGCCAAGCCAAGTTTAAACTGGCATCGAGTGGAAGGGAATGGCTTAACTGCCATCCGACTAAACGGGAGACATCGAAACGGAAATGGCTGGCCATCCAGTTGACTGCTGCAATGGCATCGCCACCAAAGCAAAAGCACGCGGAGAAAAAGGGTCAGTTTTATGGGAAGTTTTTTAGTTTATAAATTACCAAATAATTGAATTGTTTTACATTTCAAGAGATTTGTAACCCACTTGAAATCTTTCTAATATTATTCAACAATTTAATTAAATTTTTAAAACGATGAGTTAAGGTTTAACATGATTGTGTAAGATGGAATTCAAATCACTGCAGATTTTTCAAACCACCGAACATCTGAGTGATTTCACAAATAATGTAAATATTATGAGATTCTTTTTTTTGGTCAATAAAGTGATTTATTTTTTCCAAAGTACACATTTCTATTTATAATTAGCTACTAAACTTTAAAGACTGTTCAAGTAATCGATCAATTATCGTGAAATTTATCCCAGTGCAGCACCCATTTAAAGGCTAGAGTGGGGCAAGTTGAAGGCTCTTGAAGTCGCTTTCCCAGCTTGGCTGGCAAGTTTTATGTGTTGCATATCCCGAGGCGCTTGACTGTTCTAATTTTTTCACTCGCTGGCCCTCTCTTCCTCTTCCGGCCCTCTCGCTTCTTCCCAACATTCTTCCACCATTCTCATTCTTCTTTTCAGGGCTTCAGTGTGTTTGTGGGCTTCCACCATTGAATTGGTTTCTTTCTGTCATTCTTTTTCTCGTGTTTTGTGTTATGCTTAAATAAAGATTTGTGTTAGTGTGCTTCATTGTTGCTGTTATTGTTGTTGTTGCGCACTTTCCTTGTTGTTTGTTAGCCAAGTTTATGTGCAGTGCTGGCCTTCATTGTTATCATTCTCAATGGTCGCCATTTCATTGTTGTGTCGAAGGAAGAGGAAGTCCCAGTCCGCCAGTCGCACACACACCAAGGCATTCAGGCCGAATTAATACGTATGTGCAACAATTGAAAGTGAGCGAGTGTGTGTAATATGCATGTTACCTACTTTTGTGAGCTTTTAATTAACAACAATCCCCCAGCCCGAAACACAAACAAAGCCACTGAGAACTGAGAACTGAGAGCACCGAGAACCGAGAAGAAAGGGGCGGAAGAAAGCCTTGAATTCGCAAAAGGCCTTTTGTGGGGATTTCGCAAGTGATTCTTTCGGCTCGTTAAATATGCAGTGCATATAATATCGCAAATTATGTGGGATTTGCAGCGGCTTAAAGTGCCATTGAGTAATTTTCGCCCTCTTTGAGGGCTAATGAGGTCGCACAATGAATGCTTTAAAGTATATCGGAAATCTAAATGAATTTCGTAGAAAAATTTTAAGTTCCTTTCAGCTCAAAGGCGAAAATCGCCACAAAGAAAATAAATAAGCAGCGAAATATTCAAATATTTACGCAGCGGAAACTCTGCGAAAACTCTGCGGAAAACGTCGCCCAAATGAGCACTGCACCATTCAATGGAATTATTTACATAAATATTCACAGAGCGACTGAGCGACCAAGTTGCTGGCATATTTTTTATTTCTTATTTTATTTCTATGTGCCATTTTTATTTGACTAGACGTGCGTCAGTCAATCATGCTCCAGAACTTTTTCCCTCTGCCGCTGGGGAATTTTCCAGCCGCCTCCCCCTTCTCCCCTCGAAGAAGTGGGGGAGTTGTTGAGAAAAAAACTTGGCGTTGCCATCGACAACTGAGCACAGAGGCAAATTGCTGCCAGTATGTTTGTAATGCAAACAAACTTTATCTAATTAAAGGAACACGTGTTACCCAACGCCTTCCCTTTCGTCTAGGGAGCATCTTCGTCTTGGGGATCGAGGTCTATATGGATCCATCTCCCTCTCAGTCCGAATATTTCTGGAATGCCAGCAGCTGCTTTACATTGATGACGAGGCACTCGAAATGCTTTTGATGTCTCACTTTGCATTTGCCGATTCGACAGCTTTTGCATGTGAGTGTCTGGGTGTCTGTGAGTCTCTCTATGAGTGCGTGTGTGCGTAACTTCCGCTTCCTGTTCCTTGTGCCCCTTGGGCTGTCACTGCGACTCTCTCTTCCGGCTGACTGGGCTTCGTCTCCAGTCTGCCACTGTCGAGTGCCTTTTGAGTTGTTTGTCAATATGTAGACCATTATTCAATCAATATATTGACACACATTTCATTTCCTCTCGGCAAACGCCTGCCATTCTGCCATTCCTTCCCTTCTCTCCACTCGCCCATAATCCAAGCCAAGTGCTAATCGCAAACAAAGTAGTTTTTGCTTGAGTTCCATTTCAATTTCTTTTGACGTCTCACCCACTCATTTTGGCCCATTTTTATGGCTCGTGGCTGTTTGGTTTTTCGCCTCGCCTTCGTCGTCGATTCGATTCGATTGATTCCTTCGCCAGCTTTACGTACTTTGACACACTTCCAAGGATCCGTGATGCCTTTGCCCCCGGGGACTTACACTTCCGCTTAACTATTGTTTGGGTAGGGGGTTTTCTTGGGTGGGAGGGGTGGCAAAGGAAAGGGAAAGCGGAGACTATACTGTACAAATTGAATTTGAAGCCGGGGTCCCTTCTCTCTTATTTGCACACGAGCCGATATTCCTCTTCGTGCCATTCCCAATTTTTAATTTAATTCGGCGCCTTTTGCTTTGGCACTTAAAAAGTTTCTCCCAGTGCCCGAAAGTAGGCAACGAATCCCGACCCGAATCCGAAACAGAATAAAAACCGTGCTAAGGTAACACACTGCGGGAAAGATAGTGGATCTTTATCATTCGTAAACCAAATTTAAACTAGCCAGAAATTTAAAAAAAATTGAGATTTCTAAATTAGTAAAGATGCTTTAAGATAAATGAATAATTTTGATTCTGATTTCATTGAAATTTGAAAGGATTCATGTTATTAATTTATAAGCTAAGACAAAGACCCTTTAAACTATTTTCTATATTTAAAAAAATATTTTAAAAAGTATTATGTGTAAAACACAGAATCCATTTTCATATAATTCCACTAAAATAAAACCTGGAGGATTAAATCGTCCAAAATAATATGGAAATTTCTCATATTATTAATTTACCGCAAATAAGTATCAATATTTTTTCTCACTGCACCAGCATCGAAATGCGCAAACGAATGCGATCGAGTTGCTAAATCACTTAAGCCATTCAAGTTTCGTTTCGATTTTGAAGCGAGACAAGGAACAGGGAAATTGTGATAGAGAGATTACTATTGTAGTTAGGAGATTTGTTGGGCCAAAGCTGGAGTAGCAGTGTAGGGAATTGACTTCTGAAGCATGGCCCAATAATCCGCATTGAATTGGAGCTTCTTGGCGTTTTTGTTTTTGCATTTTGTTTTTTGCGAGATAAATTCCCGAGGCCCGTGCGCTGCATAATTAAGTCTGGCAAGTGCAGTATTCAATTTAAGTTTCTCGGACTTTTTCCCAGGGCTTCAATTAACCAACTATAAACAAGCTGCTAACTTGGCCGAAACGGAGGAGGAGGAGTAAGGTGCTCGCCACTTACCATGCAGTTTGCCTGCTCGTCGAATCCTGCGAGGAGGGGCAGTGGAAAACAGGACCTGGACCTTAAAGCTGCTTTGACTGTCGGCTGCTCTTCAAAGTTTCAAGGCTCTGGCCAAGTTTTTTGTCCTTCCCTCGGGTCCTTTGTGAATAATCGTGGGGGCGGAGGCGGCGGTGATGCGCTTAATTATGCTAAAAGCAGGCAGCAACTTTGCCAGCTACAGTAATGAATATTTACACCTGCCCGGATGCAAATGTGGCGCCAATGTCAAGCCATCCAGTAAACAGAGCCGAGATATGTATCATTCAACACTTTTCGATTTTAGTTTTTATTCTTGTTTAGCTTTTTCACAGATCACTTTCGAGTCCAGAGTTTTTTAGGCTGGTCGTAAACTTTTTACTTCTGTCATCAAAGACTTTCTGAAGTCCCGGCCATTTCACTCACTTCTTACGACTTTTGGGAATAATCCCGATTAGAGGACCGGAAAAGCACCGGACTTGCCCCAAGTTACGGCGACGGAAAACGCAAACGAACTGACTGGCTGGGAAGGCGAACAAAGGCTTTTCAATGCTAACTTGGCTTCGAGGAAAACTCAACACGGGCTCTCTCTTCGATTTTTGGTGAGTCTGCGCAGGGATTTCGCCGCTCTGATAATCTGCACGTGCATTTTGGGTTTCCAGGAAAACCCCTATCCCCCGCTTTTCCTCCGGAAAATGTTTGTTTACATTTGGCAGAACAAACGGCAGGAGAAGGGCCTCAATTGGATGTTGCCTACTTTCGGGCAATGAAATATGACTTCTGCAATCGAAGTGGAGCTGCAATTGCATTTGGCCCAAAATCGCCTGAAGGCCTGCAACAAGCTGTTGGTAATCCAGGCTGAAAATGGATTTCAGGCTCCCGATTTCAGGTTCTATCTCTAATGAACTGCCTCGCCAGCCGGCTGATGGAGAAACTTTTTTAATTATCATTAATGAACACGGAGGCCCCGGCAATCATTGGCCAAGTTGCGCTCTGCAATTATTTTAATGTTCAATGAGGTTGCTGCAGCAGTCATCGCCAATGATTTATTGCCGGCCCTTAGCTTTTCCAAAGGTTAGAGTTCCGGACTCCATGGCACAAAGTGCGAAGTCCGAAGTGTGTGAGAGTTGGCAATTAGATAGGAAAGCTGGAAGGATGCCGGGCAGGAGGCAGGGTCCATGAAACAGCGTTTATGTTTAATGCGTTATAATGGCCGTTGTAAGTGTACATAAGTTGATATAAAAGTTTTATGGCCCGGGCGTGAGCAGCCTCCGGGATCCGATATGGAAAATGGAAAAGTGTGGGGGGTGGTAAGCCCTCTCTAGATAGTAAAACCACAATGAAGCACAACCAAAATAAACAAATCGATGAGTTATCCCCGAAAGTTAGCGCAATTGAAATTTCGATTTAATTCCACTCTCGACACTTTGGTCAAAAATAAATTATTGACTTTCAAATTGAATTAGGTTATTGTAATGCCGGATAAAGCCAGAAATTTATGTTTTTTTTTTGGGAAAAACCACAAAGTTGGGCTTTTTTGAGGTCTCTAGATTTCTCGATCGGGATCAAGCTGGAACATAAATTATTTAGCCTAGGCCATTTATTGAATTACTCTGTTATTGCCTGCCATAAATTATGTATGTTCAACAATTTTCCATAATTTATGCGTGCTTCAAAACAATTTAACCCCCTTCCAATTTCCCCCTTCGGGCACATGAAACACATCGATGGAAATAATTTCAATAGAAAAACCTAGAAAGCGCAGGAGGCGGCCAAACAAACACGCACGAATACCTCCCCAAAAACGCACACCCACACAACCGCACACTTTCAACCGCTCACGCACACAGCCACACACGTACGTGTGTTTAGACAGATATCCGTATCTATAACTGCCTCACAATTGCAGCGCACTTGCCGCAGAAAGACCGATAAAAGAATAAACAAGGAACACGGTTTGGATCTTTGGAAAGCGGAAATTTGAATACCCTATCTGCTTAGGAAATTGTAGTTTTCTAGGATTAAAATACAAATTAAATATCCTATATATTATTTCCTATCAATACTGAATTTTTAAAAAATGTAATAATATTTTTGTTGAAATTCCTATATCGTATTTTCTAATTTTCGAATTAGTCAAGTGCTTTTAGTATTTTAGGACAACTAAAATATTACCCCATGTATTTAAATGTATTTAAAACGCGCTTTATTTATTTTTCTACCAATACTGTAATTTTCCGGAGTTCTTAGGATTTCTAAGAAATACATATTTTATTTTGATAAAAAGTTCTCTATCTTATTTAAAATTTGTTATACCATTACAAAAGGGATCCATCTTAAAAAAAATTATTTTAATAGATTAATTAAATAAAAAAGAAGGGAAAAGTATAGAAGAGTAGAGGAAAAACTTACCAGCTATTGATTAATTTTAAGAACCAAGGTTCAAAGAAGGTTCAACCTGCGGTTAGAGTAGGTGGGTGATACCCCTTCATAGGGCAGTTCCCTTCACCACTTTCATTTCGCTTTTACAACCCTGCCCTTGCAGGGGAGCCAGAGGACCCAGACCCCATTTATGACATATGCGCGGGTCGAAGGGCAGTGTGTGTGTGTAAAGGGCCTGCAGCCAGCAGACGCATCGCCAGGACAACTCCAACCCCCTTTTGGCCACCGCCCCTGCCCGATTCGAGCCCCCTTTACCAGCGGCAGTGGCAAAAAATCTTCGGTTTAAGCGATTTCGCCTGCTTCGGGCAGAGTTTTTCCTTTTGATGCAGATGGAAAATGGCCGTATATGAATCGGAATCCACGCATTCACGGAGTGTGTTCCCCCGTATGACAAACCGTGGCAAATGGAGAAGGTGGGGAAGGGAGTCAGGGGCAGCTAGGTAACCGTAAAATAGAATGTGGGAATTGGGGAGCGGAGTGAAAGGCAAGAATTGCAATAAAACATAAAATTGCTGACTTCAATTCGTTTGCCATTTAGGTTTCGTTTTCCCTTTTTTTTTTGCCATGCCCATCTGGGCCATTGTGAGTGTGAGTTTGTGTGTGTAGGTGGGTGGGTGGTTCGGAAAAGCGGGAGGCTGGGCGTGTGGATGGGCGTGTGGCAACCTGCGTTCGCCCCTTTATATATTTTATTAGGTTTTATTTGATTTACACTTGTTTTGTGCTGAAAGCACTTCGCCCCTGAGCATGTGAGTGTGTGTGTGAGTGAGTGAGGGAGGATAGAAAAAGAGTGAAAGGAAAATGGGGATGCGGTGGAAAAACTTCCCGTTTTAGGTTCAGAATTTTCAGACCCTTGAAGATTCTTTTATTCAAATTGTAGGTTTTGTAATAGAAGGCATTTCTATTTAAATAATCTAAAATACTTACTACTACTTATTATTTAGAAATAAAAGTAATACTTTGAAAAAATTCTTTTGAAATTTAAAGCTTAAAATATTCTTAAAATTTGAGTTCGATTCGTTTTAACGTGTTTTTTCCATTTCATCACATTTTAATTGGCTGTTTTAAAGAAATATGTAAAAGACAGCGTAATAAGTATCCTTCAAAGGACTTCGTTACCTGCAGGTCCGAATGGAAATTAACCATTTCTGTCCAGAACTGTCTAAAGGCGGTAATATGCCTTTCTCTGCCGAGAGTGGGAATCCTTTCTGCCGCTGCCAGCTAAAGCACAATTAATTAAGCACGCACAGTGAAAGCACAAAGATTTTAATTAAAAATTTTGCTGAAGCTGCACAAGTGTCCTTAGCCTGCCCCTAGCCCCACCCCTCTTCACATCCAACCCCTCCCCTGTTCATATCCTTTGTGGAGCTTTCCGTGTTGCACTTTGTTTCATTATTTCATTACATGCCTGAGCTGCAATTGTAAGGCTTTCAATTTAAGCCGAAAACTGATGAACGGCAATTGGTAATTGGCAATTGACAATTGTCGATTGGCCATATGGTCCATCCATCCAATCCACTCCACTCCTTATCCGATTCCATGCGATGGCGCCTGTTTACCACCCACTTTTTTGGCCCGTCCACACCCTTGACACACTGAGCTCTGTGTAAAATTTAGCTTTTTGCTCTACTTCCCCTGAGATAACCTTTATCAACTTATGGCCAACCAAAAACCAAGCCATGTGTGAAAGGCATCCGTCTCAGCGGGAAATTCTAAAGAGCTGCCTGTGGGCCTTAAGGTGTTAATGAGTGCGATAAGATCCAAATTAGAATATCCATAATTCATCGTGTTTGCGGGGCGCTTTCATTGCGAGCTGCTCTTTGCCGGCCATGTTTGTTTGGGCCTCGAGGCCACTTTCTCCATAGAGGCCCCCTCTTTAATCGATTCTAAGAATCTAACACAGCTTCAATAATGTTTAAGTGTATTACATAAATTTCGAAATTATTTCATTGGGGAGTTTACAAACCTTAAGTTAATAACGCTTTAGCGATGATTCAGCACTAATTGAGAATCTGTTCAAGCCTTAAATTTATCAATAAAGTCTGCTATTTCCACTGACCAACTTGCGAATAAATGCAGCACATTTTCCTCCTCCTGAAAACACTTTCCTTCCCCTGAACACCTGTGTTTGCTTTTAAGCTTAGCGCCAGCAGCCCCAAAGACAAAAACAGCTTCACACGCTCAACTCCTGTCGGTGTCCGTGTCCATACTCCATACTTCCTGCTCGTGAGTTGGTCCGCAGGTATTAAGGTCAGAAGTATAAAACATGCAAAGCTGCCTGGCCGCCTCACCTCGAATCCTGAATCCTGGCCAGAGGGCAGAAAACGCAGGCAGTCCATCACAAAAACAAACACCCGGCGAGTGTTAACCGACTGGACTGCGAATCCAACTAAGGGTTAAGCCCGGAACCGAGATAGCTGCTGAATCATAGTTTTACAGCACAATACAGTGGTTTTATAGTGAGTAGAGTACATACAAATATGAGAAGTATCTTTTTTAATAACCTATTATCCCAAGAAAATAAATTGTTATAAATGATTTCAAATTATATTCTCAAATAATTTTATTTTATGTACATTTTTTAATCCAAAAATGCTGTATGTAATATTTATATTAAGACATACTGAAAAATCCACCCTTCTTGAGTATTTACCTGTTTCAAAGCCTTCCATCGATAAGCATGTTTCTCAGAAGCCACTCCCACATGACCCGCACTTTAGAATTGCCTTTGAAGAACCTAATTAAATACCTATCTCAATGGGCCGCTAAGGAGCCTTGGCCCGGCATCAGTATTTTGGCTGTGACTGTACTGGCGAATAGCTCGGAATTTCTCTTATGCTGCGCCCATAAATATGCTACACTTTGGCATTGGTCCCTCCGCTCCTTAACCCCACGAAGGCCCCAATGCCCCTGTTCGACCTCCTCACCCTCCGACTTTGATGTTTTCGCAGCGAAGGGAAGCAGTTTAGACGGACATACTCCCTTGTCATTTGCGGTTGCTCTGGTTTCCGGTTAACACGCACACACACCAGCCCAACTCAACACACACATGCATATGCAT